AAGTGATAATCATAATTTTGGAGACGATGCTGTGTGTCCTAGAAAGAAGTTGAGACCATCCTGTTTTCCTTTCAGTGCTATGAAGTGCCTGGAGTGAAGATTTTGACTTACAACGGGCCTATTTATTATGGCAACCGTAACTTCTTCAGGGAGGAGATGAGCAGGCTGTTGGGCCTGACGCCAGAGAAGATCCGCTGCCGGGAGAAGGCAAGGAAAGCCCTGGAGAAACGGGAGAGAGAGGCCACTGTCAACACTGTGGTATGACTTCTGCAATTGCTGAATGAGCTGAGTTAGAATTTACAGTTTACACTGTATAAGCCAATTTAATTACAGGATCCTATTGTTTTTTTCCCCCTCCATTGTTCTTTAGGAAAGAGGCATTGCAAATACATCGTTTTCTTCAGAAAATGAGTTCTTTAAATCTGGTAAGTAATGAAAACATTTAGGTGTTTCTGTCTGGATGACACTAAATATTAACACAGTTCCAAAAACTAAAAATAGATGTTCTCATTTTGAATGAGGACATCTATAACAGTGATTGCCAATCACATTTTTTTGCAAGGAAAATTCAATTTCCCTTTTTTTCTTTTCTCTAGAAACATCTGAGAGTGATGTTCAGGCAGTATTGATTGATTGCAGCAGTGTGATATTTGTTGATGTTGCTGGAGCAAGACTCTTCACACAGGTCAGTTTGCAAGACAAAGCTTCAAACTTCACTGTATTTATTCATGCATTGTTGTCAATTGACTGGTTTTGTTTTTTTGCAGATGTGTACTGAATGCCAGAAAGTTGGAGTTCATGTATATTTGGCAAACTGCAATGGTAAGGCCTGTGTATCCAAATTATTCTTATCCTGATAGTTTTCATTGCTGCATAATCTGCTTGTACTACCTTATGGAGAGTTGTTTTTACTTATTACATATGTCAAAATTCACTTGCATTAAATAAATACTCATCGATAATTTCCATCTCCTTAGAGAGCGTCCTAAAAATCCTCACATCAAGTGGTCTAATGAACTACATGAACCCTCAACATATTTTCGTGACTGTTCATGATGCTGTGACATATATTCAACAGCAGAAGGTGAGCTAGAAAGCAGAAATGTTCACAAATACACAAAAGGCTTTTATTTCTAATTACTTTGATTTTCATCACGATACTGCTGTTGTCTGCTGTAGGAAAAACCTCCAGAGAACACCACGACTGTTTGGGTTTGAGGCAGGAGGACAGTGATGAGTCATACTTCCTTCAGCCAAGTGTGTGGGACTAAAATGTCAGAGAACATTACGATTTCTGTTCTATAAACAGAGATTATGTCTCAGCTGTATAGCAGCACTCCAGCATTTGGTCCAGACTGTACTGTATACCAGCGTTTCAAAGAAGCAGTAGCCTGTTGTAGCACTACGTCATGAATTACAATAATGATTACATTACAGTGTTACCAGTTTGGACTCCAGGCAGACTTTAATCTGACATTAGTCATTATATCAGTGGGATTTGAATAAAGTCGATAGAATAATTCCACAATAGACAATCTCATCATATATTTAGTGTAAATAAATCTGAAAAACAAATATGTAATTTTTGACCAATGACTATAAAACCATATATGGCAGACATGAATTATTTTGTTTAACAGTTGTTCTGTTCTTTATTGTCATATATGCTGGAATATTACCACAGTAATATTTATTTAGTTTCTGTTTGTTGTTTGCAATACAGATACATATAAAGTGCACTGAATAGTTTGTTAAAATACTTTTGTATATTTATATCTTTTGAAACATGTGCTTGAACTGTGTACAGTAAATGTCATCCAGCCTTAAAATGTTCTGTCTTTTGACTCCAGAGAGACTGCACAACATATTTTATGAATGATACCTGTATTTGTCAGCAACTGTGCCATCCAGTGGCTGTTTTGACAATAAATATGTCGCCAAAAACAAAACTTCTATGTGAATTAAAACTAAATTTAACATATGTCAAAGAAAATTGAATCCTGGGTTTCTATATCACACTTTTGTAAGTGTGGTTATTGGTGGTGTATAAGTATGAATAGATTTTAGGGGGAAACACAGTGTGGAATGTGAAGCACGCCACTTTTGAAGAGAGAAGAAGAGCAGCCTTTGTATTTGGTGAGATACTGTAGACTAGTGTGTCTGCACTGAGATATTATGAGAAATGAAAAATGCAGGATTCAAATGACAACAGAGGCAAAGAAAGGGGTAAAACTGCAACAAGCAAGCTACAATTAATGTATATTTGTATAACTGCAAACACTGACAAATACATCAAGTTGCAACTACATTATATAAAACTGTTTGATCCATAGATCCAGTGTGTCGACCACTTTTGATAGAACAAAAGAGTTTTGCACATTTTATGACCATTCTCACAAAATCTTCTGTCATAAAATATTTAAGATGTGCTTTACCAGAGGTAGTAAACACCATTACAGTAATTGAAAGCAACATCTTACCTTACCACCATGCTGCCCTCTGCTGTCCAATAGTTAAAGGTTTTCCTCCCACTGCTCCTTATCATATTCTTGTTACCTTGACCTGATAAAACTACACGTAGTGTGAGTTCAAAACCAGGACAAAAAAGGAAAAAACCCTAATTATTTCCTTGCTTGATGTTGGATAGCCAAGTTATTAATTTTTTCCAGTGCATATTTCAAAGAGGCCTCTAGACACTGTACCCTTTGGGTTTTCCCTTTAAAGCTAAAGGAGTGTTTCACTAATTGGCAAGAAGTAGTCCACTTCAATTAGAACACAGTACACAAGGCTCTGGCCAAATGTTTACAAAGCCAGATTCTACCGGCAGACCTACTAACATGTACACACACATACACACACGTAGAAGCACATATTCAAAAAGTAACCCTGCAAACTCCACCAGGAAGGTCAGCAATTTAATGACAAAGTGTTTGATTTACTTATGAAAAAGATGCTTACAGGTAATGTGTATAGCATGCACTTTTTAGTTGTGTTAGTTGACCAACAAATTGCTAAATGAAAAAAACAGAAAACAAATGAAACAAAACAAAAACCCCAACATTAAACAGTGGATTACAGTGGAATAATATTTAAGAATAAAAAGTCAAGTAATGATTTGATGATGATGATTGAAATGTAATAAAATAAAAATAGACTCTCCAACCAAGATTGCTCATAATAACTTTACTATGAAATGATACTACTATTGCTACTACTATTACTACTACTACTGATAATAATCATGATAACAATCATGATCATGATGATGTTAGGTTGCTCATGACAAAGCAGAGGATCGTTCAACTTGTGTGGCATTTTCACTGATCTTTTGTTTCCATCTTGTGGTGAAACATTGGAATGGCAGCATATTCTTTAACCCAGATGAAGGGTCACATGACTTCGTAGTGAGAGTCAGGTGTCATATAGTAATGAGTCCAATGAGTCCATTCAAAATCCTACACAAGCAAAAGTGCATCAGTATTATAAGCAAAATGCATTTAAAGCATCAAAGGTAGGTAGGGCTTGTTCCCACTGACTGATACATTTATTATGTATGACATTATTAGATTAATACTGATGCAACAGTGTGAAAGCAGCATTTTATTGTTGTAGCTTTAGGTACAACTACTTTATATACAGTGAACTATCTTAGACCAGGGATTTCCAACCAAAGGGTCAGACCCTCTCCAAAGGGTCACAAGATAAATCTCAGGAATCATAAAATGTTTTCAGTTGTGGCTGCTCATTTCTTCTTTTCTAAGCAGACAAAGTGACACGTAAGATGATAAGATGAGACTAGATAAGATGGCTGTATGCTGGCCATGATGATATTCGCAAAATCTTCTGAGTGCAGATGAGGGCCCAACACAAAATTTGCTCAATGCCATATACCTATAAGGGCTTTCATGGATTACCTCACAGCCACCACAGAATCAGACCAAAGATCAATGGTGCAGAGGAATGGAAAGGCAGTTGACAAGTTCAGGTCCAGCATTGCAGGCTAAACTATCCCAACCGTCTCAGAGAAGCCTGTAAATAGACTTTAGGTAAGGATTTTGACAACACTCTGAGGGATACAGTGGTGGATATGTCTGAATTGACGATGAAATTTGACGACCTAGAAATGACACTCACCAATCAACTATCTTTCTCCAGAACAACACCCTGTTGGTGGTCCACTGGTGTAACATATTATAATGTATTGTATTTTATCTGCTAATCATATGTTTCTAATGTAACATCTGAATCTGCAAAGTAACCAGTAAGTTTATCTGTCAAATAAATGTAATGGAGTTAAAAGTACAATATTGAATGAAATGTAACGGTGTAGAAGTGTAAAGTTACATAAAATGGAAATACTCAGCTACCTCAAATTACTTAAGTACTGTACTTGAGTAAATGTACTTAATTACTTACCACTCACCACTGTATTTATGTTCTCATTTTTCAACATCCCCCAGACAACCAAACATGAACACAAGTTGTTGGTATTCATATTTAAGCTGTGAGGTAATGTCAGATAATGGCCATTATTTTGTAACCTTGGTGAAGAACGACAAAAGTACAATCACAGCAGTGAGTCATCTGTAAGCATATTAATAAGAAGTCACATGATAAAATTTATTAACTTTAACATCTGTGCACAGTCACACACAGGAGCTATCTAAGTTCCCACAGTCCTGCGTTCCCAGGGTCCTCTCTAACCTTACCCCCAGAAAGGAGGAACACAAGACTTTTTTTCATGTTCCCTTTATGTGCCATATACATCTGGGTAACATAGGACTCCTGGGAATGTAAGACCAACGGAAAATAGGTCCCTGGGAAAATATGAATGTCTCCATCATACACACACAACTACACAACCACACAACCACACTCATGCAAATAGAGGCCTAAGACTGCAGTGACCACAGTGCTAAAATAAACATTATGGAGTTATACTGAAGTGCTACAAAAGAGACAGACACCAAAGAAAAAGATACTTATTTGCAAGGCAAACCTTTTTTCAAATCAATCAAATTTTTTTATTTTTCTGTATTTTGCAGAGAACACAACAACAAAATGTCTACAAGTGGAGTTATAATGATTTCCAATGAGTGCATGCAACATAATGTGCATAGGAATGAGTAAATAAAGTAAAAAGTATGTCTTTTAAATTAGGGTGTGTGTGTGTAGGATTGCAGTGGGAGTGTGCAAGTGTTAGGTAATGACATGTTATAATCAAGAAGAGTCAGGTGGAAGTTGCAGCACTGATCAGATGATATGTGGATTTTGAGTAACAGGAAAAGAGCAAGGAAAAAAAAGCATGCGAGAAATGATAAAATGATACATGAACTATAAATATGACACAATTTAAAAGGTGTAGATACTTAAATATGTTAATATTACTTATAAATGTTTTCACATTTAACATATATGGCAGAAAGGGAATTCAATTTCAGTCCGACTTCAGAAAATAGTATTACAATCCAGCATGATAAGATGTACTTCATTATTTCCTTACTTACAGAGCAAAGTGCAAATGATAACTCCAGAAACTGCACAGCATTGTAATATAAGAACTCAGTTTACAACCTTTTCCTTTACTCACACCACTTAGTCACTTTGTTCTTTGGAGCCTCGCAATACATTCAAAAACATTTTATGAACATGACATGTTCCCTGAGTAGCAAAACCATGATAAATAGCAAGTTAGTAATAACTAATAAACTGTTTTTTTATTATTATTAATATTTTGATAAAAACAACAAAACATACACAACAACAAAAAACAACAAAACAAACCAACACAAACAAACCAACACAAACAAACCAACAAAAAGGATAAAGGGGTGGTTGTGGAAATGGAGGGTCTCCTGGAGACAAGATTTAAAAAAGCTCCACAATTCATCTGGCCTATTATCCTCTACTAGAGTGGAGGCGGCCTGTTCCATCGATAAAAACTCCATGAAGTCCTTGCGCCAGTTCTCCATACTAAAACTGTTTGGCTTACGTTGTTTCCAGTTCATTAAAATGATCCGTTTAGCTGATAGAAAAGCCAGGACAATAATACCTTGTACAGTTTGGGGTTTTGCAGTGTCCATATTCGCACCTAATGTACAGGTTATTGGGCAGGGTATTATATCTATGTTAAGGACATGTGACAAGCTTTCAATAACATTCAATCAAAACAGGAGGGCAGTACCACAGTAAGTGCATTAGTGTACCCTCCAGCTCACAGCCATGCCAGCAAGATTTGGATAATGTGTTTGTATCTGACACACTTTGACACTTTTGTACAACTTGTAAGTGCTCTATCCCATTGTGGAAGGAAAATAGGTACACCCATATCATATATTTGAGCGGTATAGAAGACATGAGAAAAGCCAACTCATTTTTATGACTTCTGATTCCCCCAGAGGGATAGGTAAAACTGTCCACCTTTTAATGTCTTCCCTGACTGTTTTAAGAAGTTCTGGTGCATTTATATCAACAATTTTGCTAATTGGAGATCGTATTTTAATTCCTACATATTTCATACCTTGGGGGGTCCACTTAAAAGGGGATGTACCCAAATGTGTTTGGTAAGTGAGATGGTTGAGTGGAATGGCCTCACTCTTACTGTAGTTGATCTTATATATCTCCATATCCAGAAAACTGTCAATGTGTCAATAAGCTTTAGTACTTGAGAAAAAAAAAAGCAGCATTAGAAATGGTGTTAGCCTGTCTTGGAAACATTTATAAAACTCAGCTGTATAACCATCGTCGCCTGGTGTCTTACCAGTTGACAGAGATTTAACAGCAGATTTTACTTCATTTTCTAGGACAGGTGACTCCATTGATTCCCTTCCTTCCTCACTGAGGGTTTGTAAAGACATGTTTCTGAAAAAGTCTTCCATGTAATTTTCACTAGTGGAGCAGTCTGATTTATAAAGCTTACTAGAACCTTTTAAAGACTTGATTCATTTGGTTTTGGTCACAAACTAAAGACCATCCCTCATCTTTAATACTTGTACTTGACTGCCGGTTTTCTTGCTGTTTAAGTCTAAGGCGAGTAGTTTACCAGCCTTGTCACCAGTCTCAAAGTGTCTTCGGCCTAGTTAAAAAAGAGCAAATGCATTTTCTTCATGTAAAATTGTTTGTAATTCTGTTTTTATATAATCATCGAGTTCTTTAATTGAGGGTTATCTGGGTCCAATATATGTCTTGATTCTAGGGATCTGAGTTCCTTACTCAGACCATGCTTCCTTGCGTTCTTTTCCTTTTTCCTAACTTGAATAACTTATAACCCAGCCTCTGCAAGTTGCCTTAAAGGCTTCCCATACAGTCTGTACTGACTAGACTGATTTAAGATTAATCTCTATATACGCCTGTATTTTCACATTTATCATAGACACAACATTTTTATCTTTCAGCAAAGAGTGATAAAATCTCCATTGTTTATCTGGGAATATGAGTTATGAGCGTGGGAATAAAAAGTATATTCTTGTTTGTCAGGGTTAACAACACGCCAAATATCAGCTAGCTCAAGAGAGTTGCGTATTTCTGTTAAGGCATTTGACAATGCTCCATCTGATGGGAGGGGACATCCAGACCTGTCCAGCAGAGCATTACTGACCAGGTTAAGATCCCCGCCCAGTAGGATGGGGTCACTTGCAAATTGACAGCAAGTCAGAATTCAGACAAATCAGATTTATATTGTTTGATCCCATAAAACTTTACATTACACTTTGGACAAACAAAACAAAATAAAAAAAAATAAAAATAAAATTATATATATATATATATATATATATATAAATAAATAAATAAATAAATATATAATATATAATAATAATAATAATAATAATAATAATAATAATAATAATGCCAGAAGGCAAGAAGAGAATGTGAAAAACGGTGACGGACAGATTGTCCATCCCTTGTTCGTGAACAAAAAAAAATAAAGAAGGGCATGAGTGCCCGCACCAAATCTACTCAGTCCTCTTACTTGCGAGGTGTCCCTCTTGTGTGCACCAGGAATATCAGCACAAAAATAAAAATGGATTATGGATGTCAGTTACACACACTGTGTAACCTCTATACTTCCCTATATTTCTAGTTCCATTAAAATAACAAAAGCAGCATCAGCTTTTTAAACTGACCTATAGGCCTACATGCACTCTATAAACTGTGTTTTTAATTTGATTGGGCTCGTTTTCAGTTGTGGCGGATCATTTCGTTAGAGGGACCAGCAATGTTGTTACAATTTCAGAATGGGAAGATGCTGATGACTGAAATGTCAGGACTAGGAATGGGACAATATATGATTTTATTACAATAAAAAAACCACTAAGCAGACAAAGTTGCTTGTGGTGAATTTCCATTATTGAAAGTACTCTTACATGAGTGACTTGAAAAAGTGCCAAAATCTGTCCACCCAATCTGTTTAACAGCAAGTACTACAACAGTAGACTTCTTCTCTTTACCAACATTAATTTCCCTTTTTTCCTCACATTACGGCAGCAAACAGACATATGGAATCCCTGGGTTTCACTGACTGGTCATGCACTTAAACCTATTCTTGAAGTAGAAGACTTCATTATGCATGTTACTATTTTTCTTGGAAGAAGAATAGCGAAATTTGTCGTAAGCCTTTTCTGAGTCTGTTTTACTCCAGGGTAGTTTGATCTTTGATGCGTGGCTTACTATGACATCACTACAGGAGCCAATGTGGAGGATGCCCAGAGCGTCGATGTAGAACTCTGCAGTGTCAAAAGAAAATGTAGTTTTGAACAATCTTTGCTTAAATTTCCTCTGGGTTTGTTTCTTCTGAAACAACTCAACAGTGTCATCAATACACCGATTAGCCATAACGTTATGACCACTGACAGGTGAAGTGAATAACCGTGTGGTCCGATCCAACAGACGAGCTACTGTAGCTCAGATTGCTGAAAAAGTAAATGCTGGTTCTGATGGAAAGGTGTCAGAATACACAGTGCATCATAGTTATGCACATTATGACAACCAGGGTGCCCAGGTGGTCATAATGTTACAGCTGATCGGTGTATAAACTGCTTGTTAATATATTTGAAAGCATTACCTAGATGAGCCTGCCGTGCCAGGCGGGGGTCAAAGCCCACCTGCTGCACCTTGTCTGTCCTCCCCATGAAGAAGTTGATGACGGCATCAGCTACCACACAGTTGGGAAATCCCTCAATGACATGATGGTAGCCATTTCTGATATGCAAACAGTCGCCCCCCTCTCCCCCTTCTTCCACTGAAATGGTGTGACGGTATGTTGCAGTGTAGCCGGTCACCTCTCTCACTGCACCACCAACCTGAAGTCATTAAGACAGCAACAATATTGGAACAACAAATACAATTATAAACACAATAAATTATATATGAAATGCTTACTGCTTAATGATGAATGTCACTCCTCATTTCATCGTAGTTTCTAATAACACCAACGTGTGAAAACTGGAATTGACCAATTTATTAAATTATAGCCAAAACCATTTTTTGAGGTCACAATAACCTTTGACCTTTGAGTGAAACGTGCCACCAATTCAGTGTCTGGCCAACTGTTCCTGTTTCTGTTGAACAATGACCAATAAAGTCTTTTCCCAGCACATCATGGTGTCACAGGTAAGTTGAGGCATAAGAAGATTTATTATGTAAAAAACAGGAAGCTCACCCTGTTAAAATATATTCAAAACTGTGCTTCCTATCAGGTTGAATTAACTTAATTTAGCACAACTTCCTGCTGCAGATATTCTGAAGAAATCAATCTGTTAGAAGCAGAACATTTCACTTTTGGCTTTACACACCAGCAAATTGGATTTGAAATGAAACAGTGAGTAATGAATGCCAACTTTTAAGGTGTGTTGGACGGTGTTCTCATCATATTGGGTATAATAGTGTAGGACCTGGGTATAATTTCTCTAAAATTGCAATGACAATGCCGCTGGACATTGATCCTAACCATACAGACAAGGCAACTAAAGAGTTTGAAAATGAAACGTTATTGATACCTGAGTTTAATCATCTCCCTCACAACAAGCAAACACTAAACAGGACTGCAGCACAGGCCTGGCAGAGCATCAGCAGGCATGTTGTCAAGTGTCTGCAGATGTCTATAGGTTGAAAACCTTGGACAGTTAACTGTAAGGTAAGTTTATCTACATATGTAGCATGTTAGGGGAAAGTGTTTCACAAATCAATAAAACTATTGGAGACCATCCAGTGCCATTACATACCAATACCATACCAAACTAGAGGACAAGAGGGGCCAGGCATCAACGCAGCAGATATCTGCCGCACACATTGTACTGTATCTTAGCATGTATCTCACCAGATCCAGAGTAGTCTTCTCTAGGATGTCCACCATCTTCTCCAACTTGGTGTTTGCAGTGAAGATAAAATCATCATCCACCCAGAGCACATACTTGGTGGTCACCTGAGACACTGCCAGGTTTCTACCCGCAAACCAGCCCTGTACAGAAAAAAGGGTGGTCAACAATCATGAACCGCACTGTTAATAATAAAAGTAAATAATCACAATGCATGATACTTCATAGAGACATTAACTTTACCTTTCCAAATGGCATGGTGTAGTGTTCAGTGTGAGGCCCGGGCACTGGTTGAGGGTGTTCATTATCATCTGCTATCACTATGGTGACGGTGGGATAATATTGCCGTATGCTGTCGATGAGATCTTTGAGTTTGTCATAGCGTAGAAAGGTCTTGGTGGCGATGGTAACTAGAGCGCTAATATTGTACTCTATGTAGAAACAAGAAACACATATAGTAAATAAAAAGATCCCATGACGTGACCTTCTGTGACACTTTGCATCAAAATAAAACTGCTAACGATATATAAGGTCACAAACCTTCTTGGTATCCAGAGTTGTAAAGTTTCGGGATGGTTGCATGTCCAACTTTAATGGTGAAAAATGACTGATGATCTTTAGTTGCAAACTGAACTGCAGAACAAAACAACAACTGTTGTAAATTCAGGTTTCAGAATTCATCAAAAGAAATAAACCTATTTGTTATTGTTATTTTTAATGGTTAAACTATGCAAAGTTTTAATTGCCTATGCTTTGTCACTGACATCATTGCTGTTGGCTTTGAGATATGGCTGCAGCAGACATGTAGCATTCCTGAGCCATTTCTACTATACTTAGAGTGATAAACCATGGGAGGTGTTCCACAATCACAGGTCCAAAGGTTCCTTGTTGGTTTGAGACATTCCTGACTGATGCTTTGTGATAAGGTTTGTGTGTCTCCTATTGTAACTACAATACAATGGGAGTAGCATGAGAGCAAGGAACATTTCCTGCAAGTAGGTGCCTAATGCCAGAAGCTGAATGTTGGCAATCCTTATATATACACAATCTGTCAGGCGCTAGTTAATGTAGAATATTCCCAAGAGGGAGGGAATATTCGCATTCGGTCTGGAAAACTGAAAATGTTCATGACAATAACACTTGTATTTGTTATTTTATGTTTTTTTGTTTAAAAAAAAAAAAAAAATAGAACTCCTATTCAACTCCTACTAAACATCAAGCTTTCTTCTACACTACCTAGCCCATGTCATATATATTTTGCATGAAGTTTGCATGACGGGTTCGCCAGGCAAAATGTTGAAACTTTGATGCAAATAACTTTGTATGAGAAATCCTACACCCATTCAAACAGGATATAACAAGAAAATGAAGAGTCATAGGGGTTGGTGTCCACATGCCTCATGCCTAACTGCTAAGACGTAATGTCTCTTCCAACCCTTCCTGTTTAGAAAGATATTGTGAAAGCAGTGTTGTGTCAAATCTAACCTTGCTTAAACTCTCTCCCTTTCAACTTGAGTCCTGGTCACTTTTTTTGGTATTTATTAAAGTAACCATATAATATTAATAATAAAAAAAATAACCCATAACATCTTTAACCCATTTACCATAATGTCATTCATTACATATCTATCCAAAATAGTGTGATGTGTAATGTAATGTATTACTACTGATTACTCTATAGGGTTGAATAGATGAACACAACACTCAACTTTTAGGATAAAGATACGTCCACATGCTAACTTTACCTGTATCTGCTGTCTTGGGATGGAACACAGTGTTTGTATAGGTGACAAACTGCAGCTGCCTGTTCAGGGCAGAGAGAAGAAGACTCGACAGTGTCATGTGCTTCTCTCCCTCTCCTTTAACAGAGACTCTGTCCACTGTAGCAGCCACATCAAAAGTCCCAAGTGTTGCTGTCAAATATACCTGTTACACACAAAAAAGTCAAAGAAATGTAGACAGAAAAAAATGGGTATGTCAACCACAATGTAATCACCAAAATGAAGAAATTACCGTATAGTCTGGTCTTTTTTCTTCTTTAAGACCCAAACCTATGGAAAGAGAGCAGTTACTACTGGTGATATCAACACAGGGTGCTTTATCATTTTAACAAAGAATTAAATAGCAAAAGCAGCACCAAAAGGTGAAGGTGAAGATGTATTGTTTAAGCTATCAGTTTCATGTCATGTCATGTAGAATATGCTTTTACCAGGAATGATGATTGTTTTGAGAGGTCGCACCTCCACGCCCTGGGTAGGATACTGAAGAGGACTGTTGGCCTCAGCTACAATCAGCACATCTGCAGGATTGTAGGACCTATATATTTAGAACATATTAGAGAGGAAAGTACTTGCATTGATTCATCGCTGTGCAATTAACACCAATCCAATTTACTTTCAGCAACATAATTTATGTCTGGAATTGCTCACTTATATATCACTATAGTTTGACAGTGAGAGAAGAGACACAGAGAAGACTCAGTCCACTGAACAATCCACAGTTAATACAACCATGGACATGTTTTTTCCTGCCCAAACTTACACAACATGCAAGTTACTTTCGGTTGAAACAGTTTACTTTATAAAGCTGACAGAAACCAGGTTACTTATGTGCATTCACTGCATGGTCTTAATAACTACCATGCATTGAGCATTGCAAATAACCCCAGTGCAAATGATGAGACTGGGGTGAAGGACACCAAAAACAGCAAAGCACTTGCCAGTTTACAGCCAGAATGTGAGCGAGGCCTTTAAATAGACAACAGTGTGAGTGTATTCAGTGACTCAGGGGTGTCTTTCCAAACTTAAGCAATTCCTGACTAAAGCTTGCAGGTCAGAGGACAAAATCCTCCCTTAACACTGACTTATGAACTTAACACTGATTATGAAGCAGGTATGATCTTACAACAGTTTATATAGTCAAGCAGACAGTGTTTACACATGGGTGGGTTCACTGACTTCAATAATGTGTCAATTACACTTTACCTCTTCTGAAAGCTGTTGTATTCCTGCGCTCGGTGACGCTTTGTACCCTCAGGGTCAGGATGGGACTGTAAGAACGCGGTACCAAGGTTGTGGGCCCACACGCGTGGGAACATCAGATTGGAGAATGGCAGTCGAAAGGTCTCCTTATCAGCCAGACACACACATGTATTTTGAGCCAAACGACTGTGTCAAGGGAAAAAACATATCTGATTTGAAAAGGAAAATTCAATAAAACAATTCCAAAAAAAGTTCCCAAAAAAAAGTGACTAATAACATACCATGCCACATCCTCCTTTATGTGGTAGGCAACGTCACTATAGCCACGGATGATGTCTTTAATTTTCCCATCGAGGAGATTTTTTATCGGACTTCCCTGTCTTGGGTGTATGTCAACTGCTGAGCTGGTCCAAGGGCTCCAATAATGAAAGAAGACTAGCAGTAGTACACAGACTAAAATCACCACAAGACCCTTCTTACAGGTGGTACGCATCTAGAATGAAGATTAAAGTAAAACAAAGTCAAAACGGTGTAGCTCAGGTTACCCTCATGTATGTTTTGCCTCTGCTGTCTTGTGCCCTGTTCCAGGTACCGCCCTCCCTTCCGACTGGATAGGCACACCATTAGTTTAGCAATCAGGAGGATTGTTTTAAAGCTGCTGAGACGGAAGCAGACGGGGCCAGTGGGCCAAACCACCAGATAGAGTCGCTGTTGCTGTCCCTGTCTGCTGTGGAGCAGAGCTGTGTGGTGCTCGTCGTGTGTGTTACTGTTATTCCCTCAGTGGAGGGATAGCGTTATTTATTTATTGGATCAATGATTTGCTTAGTTAAATGTTTTTTCACTTCCTTTCTTTTTAGGAAGTTGTTTTGGAGTAACGTTTGACCTCATTTCCGTTGAAATAAATAGTTTAAAAGTACAAATATTTCTGGTTCCTGCCCTTCTTTAAACGCCCAGTAAAATATTAATTGTTGCGCCTCTCTTCCCCTGGACCCCACAACGTAGGTCGTAACAGAAGTTCATACAGAAAGATTATCTTCATGCGGCTAACTACTTACACTCTCACTCTCTTTTCCTTTTCTTCTTCCAGCTCAATCAGATGACATTTGAGGGCATTTACTCTTTCAGGGAGGCTATTCAGCTCATGGCATCACAACCCCATAAAATATGATGGGGTCTCATATTTCTTCATCTTACCTATTGTGCATTATGTCGAATAATTTAATTATTTAATTTAAGTCTCTCCTGATTGAACTGACTTTGATTGGATTGTTGACAATTTTGACAAGTTCCTGAACAAGCCTGCAGATATTTTTGTGATCTCTCACCCACAGAGATTGCAGTTGATATCTTCAAGATAGTTTGAAATGTTTCACGATCGAATCAGAAAAACGACTCAGTACCACCACGAGACTATAGATGCAGTTTATTATAATATTTAGATATAGGATATAAGTCAGTCCTTGTTATTAGAAAGTAGAGGTGTATGGAGATGTCAGTATCTGGAAATGTATTTTCTAAAACAATATTCATAACTGGGGGACATTGAACAATCAGAAACTGAAAAACTGTATCAAATCAGAACATTCTGTTTAGCATAGGAAATATAAACTATTTACAGTAAAGATATAAAGAAAAATATCCTTCAGTTGAAGGAAATTAAAGGGAGTATTAAATATTATTTCTACTGTTACTTTAAAGAAATGTTACTCAAATTAAAGTAAACGTGTGTGTTTAAAAATGTGGCAAAAAGTAAGTCACTTAAAATCTACTCTGTTTTGGAAATGACTGTGTGTATGTGTTTACATCAACATACAACACTGGTGGAACAAAACCATGCCACCAATGTCCAAACCAACCAGACAGAAAAGAGAGAAAACTCAGACAATTAAATGACCAATTATAAATAAAAAGAGCTATGGACACTGCAGTAGGTGCACCAAGCAATAGGCGACAGAAATGAAATAACTGCCACTGGATTTGGGGGTTCTCTCCTAAGAAATGTTTACCTGTTACTTGTCTACTATGCATTTTCACACAATTTTAAACTATTATAAAAACCCACAGAGGTTGTAGTTTTTCACATTACATTCAGACATTAGCAAGAGCAATTAGAATTAGAATTTATTTATATTTCGAAATAGAACTAAATATTGTTTCTAAAGCTTTTCTACTTTGTATTTGAATTGTCATCAAATCAAGAACAGTCTGTCTGCTGTGCTGTATGTTTGTGTGTGGAGCTTAACCTTGTCCACTGTCCTTCAGGAGAGGACAGAGAAAGCAAAATGTGGTGCTCTCTATTCATAACATTATGATTATTATGATTAATTTGGCTGTTTTGGTGTCCCTATCTACTAGAAGAAATAGAATATAATATATCCATAGATATGTTTTCATTAGTGTATCATCACCTGAAAATAAAAATTGTTACCAATGAGCTGCTCTCCCCTAAACAAGCATATTAGCAAAGTCAACAAGTCAACACTCCCTAACTGAAAAATGCCAGGTGTCCAACTGCCGCAGCTGCTCTACTTAGCACTACACATCTGATGCGGAAGGTGTATAACTGAGGAAAGTGAACTGCTGCTGAGGTCAGCTGCAGATCCTGTTGGTGTTTTGAGGGCTAACATAGACAAATCCCAACTGCAAACAATGCTCTCAAATTTTTAAAAGGGCATTTTCATGTGAAAACAACTTGGATCCACACCAATGTTTGAGTCTGCAGTAAAAACACCATAACAACAGCACAAGACAGCAAAATCTCTTCTTCTGTGTGTTTTTTCTTTTTTTTCTGCACATGAAGCCACCATAAGGAGTGGAATAGACAGCCTGGCTGACCCAATCTTGATCTTATGGTCATTATGCAGTCTGTATAGATACCACATCATGGAGCAAGATATGCGCTTTCCCTTACAGATATGGCAAGCCTTCTTTGATTGCAGTACTTTGCTACACAGGCTCTGTGCTGTGACCTTGCTTTTCACAGAGTTTTGAGAAGGAAAGCGTTCGTCCCGGTCTGGCTGCATCCACCAGAGGGATTTTAGGGGGCGAACCAAAGGTGACTGTTGCCGTAATGCTGCTCTCAAAGGAAACGGCCAGTGTCCAGGGAGTGTTCCTTAGTAGGATCTGTTCTAGGAACTCTGTCTGTTGCCCAGCACTAACACTTTATGGTTTGGCCATGTCAACAGTTATCATGAAAAGCTCAGAAATAGCCTTAGAAATACAAATAGAGCCAAAACCTCCCTTTATCATCAAAGTTGAAAGAAAAGACTGAAACTAATGTCAAAATGCTGAACTTTCCAATGGAAATACTTACTGCAGAGCAATTAAGTAGTGTAATATGATATCTGATTGTTGAGTAGTTTCAACTGTTATCTGAACATAAGCTGCCAATTTGTTCAGTTGTTGCTGAATTACGTCTTGTATTGACTCTTGTGGTGCAGCTGCTATTTTCCGATCTGCACACTCCCATGCATATTAAGATTTAACCTCACCATGCCATCATGTGGAAAGTGTAAAACAACTTAAAACAATAGTCAAAGCCTTGTGATTCCCCACAAATATCACAAAAATGCGTTGTATATTTTTGTAGAGCCATTTCATAGGACTATACATATTTGATTAATTTTGTGATTTCAAATATTTTTGTAAATATTGTGTGTTTATGATATGTGAAACTAATCAAATGATGTTTATGAGTATGTCTGACTAGAAGCAGTTAGTAAGTAAGCAGTTCAAAATATGACTGATTCTTAATAGATTCAGTGAATGCAGGGATATCCAGAATTACTTAGTAGGGAAGGAAGCTTATCAACAAATAAGTTTGTCCTCCAGATCATTTTCAAAGGTTTTCTGTTCATTACATGCAATGGCAAACTCCAGAGCATTTTAAAACTCAGACTTGGTCATTAGACATCTGACTACATGGCTATTTTTAATATTTTTTTCATCAATGTTGCTACTGTGGCAGGTACAGTGCGTGTTTATAGAAAAAACGATGGTACTTCCCTGACTGAGTGGCAAACCGGTTCTTAAACTAATTTGCTGACTTTTCATAAACTGAAACCCTTCCTTTCAAATCTTTTTTGAAAAAGCATTGAGTGTATTATATATTTAAAAGCAGTTAGTGGGTTAGACGCGTCACCTTTCAAGAAGCCTTCTTACAAAATAAGTCATAGTTGCACGTCTACAGTCTCTTTGATAAATATTTATCAGCATTATTGAACCAGTGAAACCAGTATTTCAATACCCAAACATGCCCTACACTTCTGTTCTGTATACAGACATTAGGAAGAGAGACAAACATATTTCTTACTGTTTCCGTGGGATAAATATTTCCAACGTCTGATCAAATTTGAGAAGCGGTTGTCAGGCTGGACACTACATGGGACACACACAAAAAAAGCACTGCTGCAATGTAATGACCAAATGAACAAACAGCATATTTTAATGAAATGCCTCTATTTTTTCAGAACTTCCCGTAATTGTCTCAAAGTATGCTTTCAGGTGAGGTCATATCCTATTCAGGGGAGGGCAGCCAACAATGATTTTGTGACTTCACAACCTATTTTGAAAGCCAATCACAATTCACTAAAAACAGTTCCTGTCTATCTATTTTACTTCCACATGAAATACTGTAATCTGCTCAGCTATGTAAAGAAGGATCATACAGCAGTTATGCTGTTAAGATTTATTAACGGGAGATTCATTTTATATTAAGTGTGCTTTGTTTGCTGCCTTTTAAAGTGACAGTCCCTTAAAAAACAAACCCAAACAGACACCGTACTTCGACCTGTCACTGCTGGTGTTTCTGGTAATTATTAAACAGACTATATATTTGTTATTGGTTTTATCATTTTTAACGCGCACCATCTTTCCATCTCTTTTGTGTCATAACTGATCCGAATCGGGTTTATTGCCAAGTTAATTTTACACATACAAGGAATTTGCCTTGGTGCTTTGCCTATAATAATTAAGCAACTTAAACAGATAAAAAACACATCCTGTCTGAATGACACTTTAAAGGGAAAGTACTGAATCCACAAAATGTTTTACCCTTTTTTTCTATTCTGTTTTAGTGTTGCCTTTTTTTATTCATCCTATTGTTATTGTTGAGTTTTCTTTTGTTTTATTATGGACACATTATATATAGGGAGACCGGGGCTTGTTGTCACACGGGTAAGTTGTCACATTGCAATTATCTTCTCCACCAGGGGGCACAACTAAAAAGTGGAATACCAGTTTTCTTCCTTTACATGGTCAGGTGTCATGTCCTGTCTGAGAAGAGGATAGCACATTGTGAGCTGAGATGAGCACCAAGTAACCATTTTGCACAACCCAAAGTAAAAAATATCAACTTTATATATTTCAAAATAAGCTTCGTTCAGATAAAAATCGTAACAGTGATACATGTAGAATTGTTAGAGGAGAGATTAAGGCATCCTGTCATACCTCAGTCATTATTTTGTTTTACGCTAACTTTAAGCTAGAGCTAGTGTTAGCAAAAATGGTAGTTTGGGGCAACATGTCTCTTTTGGGGTTAGTTGTCACACGCATGTTTTGATGAAAATACACTGCATATATTGACTTGCAATTTTTTAACACTATTGTTATAGTGCATTATTATATTATGCACTATTATAATAATATTATGCAGTATTACAATGATATAATATATAATATAATAATACAATATTATGCAAAGGATGGGCCCATGAAGAATGCACCCCTGGCAAATCAGTCTACGTATGCCAGAACTGCGATGTGGATGATGAGTCTGACTAGTGAGGAAATTTGTTTGTCAGGTTTTGTTTGAGTTTTTATGAATGGATCTTCCAGTTGTTGTTGGAACTATGTCCACATTTCAGGACTTTCTTTTTTTGTAATTCAATTCAATCTGGAATTTTCAGTTTAAGAATTTGAGTCTGAGAGCCATAGCCTACGTGCCAGCAGTTCCTAAGGACTTTAATCCAGTGCATGTTGCATAATATTTTATGTTAACGTTTGTTCAATGGCCTTTTCAAGCTCATTGATAAACATTTTCTCTGCCTGACTTCAATGTTCACTTTCATGTAAAACAGAACAACAACAATAATTTTGTCCTTGTTTTATTAGTTGCAAAATCCAGTGTGACATTTTACCCCATGTAGTGAGACAACTTACCCGATGGTGGGGCAACATGTCACATGTTCACACTCTCTATTTGATTGCTTATAACTCTGCACTGACACAAGATATGAAAATGACATGAATACAAAATATATACCTAAGACTTTGGTCTTTCATCTGGTACACATTATTTTTTTTTATATGATGTATTGATTCCAAGAAATATATAAGAGTGTAAAAAGTGTGACAACAAGCCCCGGTCTCCCCTAAGTCCTGTGTGACTTTGTTGATATTTGTCTTTGTGATCCAAACTGATGGATGCATTATGTTCAGTGCTTGTGTTATCCAGCTGCTCAAACAGAGCAGATGCTTTCTTCAATCTATCGCTGGCCTGTAAGCCTCAAATTGATTGTGGTGGAAAGAGTACTCAGATCCTTAACTTGATTAAAACAGTGCAGCAGTGTAAAAAAAAAAAAAATACTACTAAAAGTCTGCTAAAAGTTCTATATTAAAAACCAACTTGAGTAAAACTACAAAAAGACAAACCAACAAGTAGCTATTACTGTGAGTGTACTGAAGTTGATATAATATATAATATCTTAAACACAGGTGTAATATACAGAAGAGGACTACAATTATACTTCATGCATAAGCCATGACAGTTTGAAGCAGACAGACAGATCCTCATTTTCTTTCGTTGTTCATTTGTGTAGTCATTTTGAGAGTACTCTAACTCTCCGTTTTATTGCTAAGTATTTCTCACAGTTAAACTTTAAGAGAGTTTTGCAGCCTGCAGCCTACCACATCCTCTCTGTGGTGAGTACAAGTTGCTGTTAGAACTGGACTACATAGCATCCCCTTTCTAGTCAGTTCCTTTTTGTCACACTCTTAATGTTGATGTGGAGCACTTTGCTTTTAAATGTTTGTCTTTAACTGTAGCCTAATTTATTTTGCTGTGGTTGTATTTGTCTGACAGTTGCCATAGACACAAAGGGAATTTTTCAAAAGGATAATAACTAACTAAATACACCAATCAGCCATAACATTATGACCACTGAAAGGTGATATATAACACTGATTATCTGGTTATCATGGCAGCTGTCAGTGGGGGGGATATATTAGGCAGCAAGTGAACATTTTGTCCTCAAAGATGATGTGTTAGAAGCAGTCAACAAGTCAAAGTCAAAGTCAACAAGTCACCACTCCCTAACTGAAAAGGGAGTGGTGTCCAACTGCCGCAGCTGCTCTACTTAGCACTACACATCTGATGCGGAAGGTGTATAACTGAGGAAAGTGAACTGCTGCTGAGGTCAGCTGCAGATCCTGTTGGTGTTTTGAGGGCTAACATAGACAAATCCCAACTGCAAACAATGCTCTCAAATTTTTAAAAGGGCATTTTCGTGTGAAAACAACTTGGATCCACACCAATGTTTGAGTCTGCAGTAAAAACACCATAACAACAGCACAAGACAGCAAAATCTCTTCTTCTGTGTGTTTTTTCTTTTTTTTCTGCACATGAAGCCACCATAAGGAGTGGAATAGACAGCCTGGCTGACCCAATCTTGATCTTATGGTCATTATGCAGTCTGTATAGATACCACATCATGGAGCAAGATATGCGCTTTCCCTTACAGATATGGCAAGCCTTCTTTGATTGCAGTACTTTGCTACATAGGCTCTGTGCTGTGACCTTGCTTTTCACAGAGTTTTGAGAAGGAAAGCGTTCGTCCCGGTCTGGCTGCATCCACCAGAGGGATTTTAGGGGGCGAACCAAAGGTGACTGTTGCCGTAATGCTGCTCTCAAAGGAAACGGCCAGTGTCCAGGGAGTGTTCCTTAGTAGGATCTGTTCTAGGAACTCTGTCTGTTGCCCAGCACTAACACTTTATGGTTTGGCCATGTCAACAGTTATCATGAAAAGCTCAGAAATAGCCTTAGAAATACAAATAGAGCCAAAACCTCCCTTTATCATCAAAGTTGAAAGAAAGGACTGAAACTAATGTCAAAATGCTGAACTTTCCAATGGAAATACTTACTGCAGAGCAATTAAGTAGTGTAATATGATATCTGATTGTTGAGTAGTTTCAACTGTTATCTGAACATAAGCTGCCAATTTGTTCAGTTGTTGCTGAATTACGTCTTGTATTGACTCTTGTGGTGCAGCTGCTATTTTCCGATCTGCACACTCCCATGCATATTAAGATTTAACCTCACCATGCCATCATGTGGAAAGTGTAAAACAACTTAAAACAATAGTCAAAGCCTTGTGATTCCCCACAAATATCACAAAAATGTGTTGTATATTTTTGTAGAGCCATTTCATAGGACTATACATATTTGATTAATTTTGTGATTTCAAATATTTTTGTAAATATTGTGTGTTTATGATATGTGAAACTAATCAAATGATGTTTATGAGTATGTCTGACTAGAAGCAGTTAGTAAGTAAGCAGTTCAAAATATGACTGATTGTTAATAGATTCAGTGAATGCAGGGATATCTAGAATTACTTAGTAGGGAAGGAAGCTTATCAACAAATAAGTTTGTCCTCCAGATCATTTTCAAAGGTTTTCTGTTCATTACATGCAATGGCAAACTCCAGAGCATTTTAAAACTCAGACTTGGTCATTAGACATCTGACTACATGGCTATTTTTAATATTTTTTTCACCAATGTTGCTGCTGTGGCAGGTACAGTGCGTGTTTATAGAAAAAACGATGGTACTTCCCTGACTGAGTGGCAAACCGGTTCTTAAACTAATTTGCTGACTTTTCATAAACTGAAACCCTTCCTTTAAAATCTTTTTGGAAAAAGCATTGAGTGTATTATATATTTAAAAGCAGTTAGTGGGTTAGACGCGTCACCTTTCAAGAAGCCTTCTTACAAAATAAGTCATAGTCGCACGTCTAGTCCTACAGTCTCTTTGATAAATATTTATCAGCATTATTGAACCAGTGAAACCAGTATTTCAATACCCAAACATGCCCTACACTTCTGTTCTGTATACAGACATTAGGAAGAGAGACAAACATATTTCTTACTGTTTCCGTGGGATAAATATTTCCAACGTCTGATCAAATTTTAGAAGCGGTTGTCAGGCTGGACACTACATGGGACACACACAATAAAAGCACTGCTGCAATGTAATGACCAAATGAACAACATTTTAATGAAATGCCTCTATTTTTTCAGAACTTCCCGTAATTGTCTCAAAGTATGCTTTCAGATGAGGTCATATCCTATTCAGGGGAGGGCAGCCAACAATGATTTTGTGACTTCACAACCTATTTTGAAAGCCAATCACAATTCACTAAAAACAGTTCCTGTCTATCTATTTTACTTCCACATGAAATACTGTAATCTGCTCAGCTATGTAAAGAATGATCATACAGCAGTTATGCCGTTAAGATTTATCAACGGGAGATTCATTTTATATTAAGTATGCTTTGTTTGCTGCCTTTTAAAGTGACAGTCCCTTCAAAAACAAACCCAAAACAGACACCGTACTTCGACCTGTCACTGCTGGTATTTCTGGTAATTATTAAACAGACTATATATTTTTTATTGGTTTTATCATTTTTAACATGCACCATCTTTCCATCTCTTTTGTGTCATCACTGGACCAGGTAGTTCAACTTTTCTATATCAGAACCAGAATCGGGTTTATTGCCAAGTTAGATTTAAGACGTGCAAGGAATTTGCCTTGGTGCTTTGCCTATAATAATTAAGCAACGTAAACAAATAAAAAACACATCCTGTCTGAATGACACTTTAAAGGGAAAGTAGACAGTGAGAAAGTACCAATCTGCCTTCACCCCACCCCAAATATACAGTATAAAATATGTTAAACATGTCCTTCATTTTTGTCACCGGGTGTGTCTCTCATTATCTACTATTTATTTTCAATGTATTTCCGTTTGTTAAAGCAAACCAATGTTTGACCCCCCCCTCACAACTTGTACAGTTGGTTTCGCCCAGTACCCTCGTTCAGTGCGTTCTGTTTGAGATACTCTAAGCGACTTTATTCCTAAAAAGCCAACCTGTTATCAGATGTGTAAATGTGATAAATAATCTGTAAATATGTACAGAGATTTGTAAATGTGTGTTCAGAATCTGTGCGTGCGTAATCAGATCTTTGCAAATATGTATTCAGATTTGTAAGTATGTAGACAAATCTGTAAATGTGTACATAGATCTGAAAATGTGTGGACAAATCTGTAAATGCAGACATACATATTTATGGGAAGTTAAGTATTTGCTCCAAGAGCTGGAAATACAGACAATTCATCGGTTACAACTCAATTGCCTCTCTTGACCGTTGCTACACTTCAGTCTGCAAGAGACTAGTGTGTGTGTGTGAGGAGAGATTTGTCTGTGTGCCTCAGTAGGCACATCCACTTCTATGACCACAGAGTCACAGACTGCAGAACAAGAGTTCATGACATTTGTTCTTATCCTAGTAAATGTAGTCTTTTGGCACAAATGAGTTAAAACCTTCTTCTGTAGCCTACATGTTGAGCTCATGTAAGTCCAACCTGAGTAGGTCTAAATGAGCAAGGGAACTAAAAAACACATGTGTTGGTATGTGGGGTCTTTAATCTCTAACAATGACTCATAGTTAATAAGTTACTCATGACTGTAGCAGTTAAATGTAGTGAAGGAAAAACTACATTATTTCCATTCCTCTAAAGTAATGGAGTGGAAGTGAATTAGCATATACTTATAAAAAATACAAGTAGCTTAAAAGGTGCAGTAGATTACTACCTCCCACCACTGCATATGGATTCATGTAAATTAAATAACCGGCTAACAGGAGCTGAGAGGATTTGAAGGCTTGAAGATGGTATGTTGTAGGCTTTGTTAGGGCGACACCTAGCGGCCGAATGGTAAAGCGCCAGTTTTACATCTCTTTCTTTTAGCTTTTCTCTCTCTGCATCTCTAACTCAAATATTCCAGTGGTAATATATGCATCTTGTTAAAACGCAAACCACCAGTTTATTTCCCTTCATGCATTTCAGGACGTGAAAGGCGGCTTCCTCTACGCGTCACCGGTAGCCAGCCAATGACAAGGCCGCATTTTAAGAGCTTAGCTCGTGATGCTGAAGAATGTAAATCGGCACAGCGGCTCTCCTCTTAACTAATCATCTTGTTTGGCGACGCGAAAATAAGGACAACTTCAACCTCCCCCCCCAAAAAAATACAATACATCGGATGAATGTGACCGGCACGCGGCGATATGACTGACAGGTGTAGCAGGCTCGTGCCGTTTACAGAAACAGGAGATATGTCGCTGCAGGAGTTGCAAGCATAACCGTGCTCACAAATGACTGATCCCCCCAGCGAAGGTAATAACACACACTAAAATGAAGCATATTCTTGCTGGCTGGAAATACACGTTTGCTGAGAATAGTAATGAGAACAGAGTTAAAGATGTGGATCCCACATGGCCTTATTTCGCTTTCGCAATCTCAGTCATGTGTTGGAGGCATATAAGCGGGTGTAAATGCCTCCATTAGGGTAACAGGATCGTCGCCTGGTTTTATTAATCGTCAGGATAATAAAAGGGAAGCATCATGCAAGGAGAGAACACTTTTTTATTTTTTATGGGTTTTTTTGCCAAAGACAACTCTCGTCATGTTAATCGTTAACATCCGTCACGGGTCTTTAACCTCATCCGCGAGGCAACAGAGTCAAATGAAAACATTTTTTGGCTGTGACATACGGACACTGTGTCAAGTGTTAAAGTCCATGTCCATAAAGGACCTCTCTGAAGTCCTCACGCCAGAATGAGAAACATCTTAGTTTAAATGTTTGCGTTAGAGACCTAAAGCTGAACAAAAGAAGGAGGCATGAGTGATGATGTCATCCAGTTAAATCTTGGAGCTTCTCCACAGACAGTGATTAGTGGGACACATCACTGGGACAGCAGCATTTTACTGGAGCACACTTTGTGATTCACAGTAAGTCTCACATTCAAGTTAGAAATGATTTGTGTTGGGAATCAAAACGTTCAGTGTTGGTTAGTGTACTCACTCCAGTAGCCTAACTGTCAAGTCCAGACACTTTGATTTCCAGCTTAGTGAGACAATCTGTGGGTTTAGATTTTCCTGTTCAATTGTATTGCAATAACACACGTTACAGTTTGTTTTAAGGCACAATTTCCCTGTGAATATAGGGGGGCTTTCAGGCTCCAGGGGGCTTAAACTGTGTTGTAGTCTGGTCTCTCACTATATTGTATCTTTTCATTTTTAAAACGTGTCCTGCCTTGCAAACGTTTAGTTTATTGCCTTTTCTGACACAATGATTTGTAAAAAATAATATTGTTTATAAGCTGAAGAGAAACATTTACATACACATGTCAGGTCTGTCAGTCCATCAAATGGATCCTGGTGTATTGTGTTCCCTTGCAGACATGCTGTAATTTGGATATCACTGTGCTGGAGACGGTGTCGCCATGAAGAGCTCCAGCTCCAGATGGGCCTTCTCCCTGGGCTTCTTGGTGGGTGCCTGCAGCATCTACTTCTTCCTGCGCCAGGTGTGGTTTGAGAGGAGCTACCCCGTGCTGTCAGAGGCTCAGGAAAAAGCCACAGCGGTGGAGGAGACCCCGATCAGCTGGAAGAAAGAGGGAGCTGCTCTCATCAACCTGCTCCACCCTCACCATGCAGGTGCTTTACACTATTTCACACTGGTCCTCTACAGATAAAATCATTTTGTATGTATGGTATGGTAAAAAGAGAGTTTTAGTTATTATTAGTCTCCCTATATCTGATATCAAAGCTGCATTAAATTATGTATCCTGTATTGGATAATTACCTCTAAATTAAAACCTTGCATCTCTTACACATCATAGCTAGATTTTATAAAATACACCACTATTGACCCTTTTCACAACAGTCATTTTGATGTGAAATAGCTGTGTGAACACAGGTGTTACCAAAGGTTCCAGTTCATCCAGGTCAAACAAAGCCAGAGTGCTGCTATCGTGCATGTTGGCTCACTGGAAACACTCTGCCACATTAAATGGAACAGAACCTTAATAAGTATCATTGGTAACACCTGTGATTACCCTGTTTCATGTCAAAATGTTTGCTGTGAAAAAGGTCTATTCAATAAGAGCCATCTAATCTTGTTGTCAATTGACTAATGACTGGTCGCAGTTCAGCTATAAGAACCAATACAGAGATTCAAATAAATTAAAGAATGATCTAGTTTGCTCAAACATAATATAAATATAAATATAAATCAGCCATAACAGTATGACCACCCTAATGAGACCCTGGTGGTCATAATGTTGTTCAGCCCCATACCAACAAACTGTGATGCACTGTGTGTTCTGACACCTTTCTATCAGAACCAGCATTAACTTTTTCAGCAGTTTGAGCTACAGTAGCTTGTCTGTTGGACTCTCCGCGTACATCAGTGAGCTTTTCCTCCCTTGGAACACTTTTGATAGGTACTGACCACTGCAGACCGGGAACACCCCACAAGAGCTGCAGTGTTGGAGATGCTCTGACGCAGTCGTAATCATTACAATTTGGCCCTTGTCAAAGTCGCTAACACACCAAATTGAGGACAAAATGTTCACTTGCTACCAAATATATCCCACCCACAGGTGCCTTGATAACCAGATAATCAGTGTTATTCACTTCACCTGTCAGTGGTCATAATGTAATGGCTGATCAGTGTATATTTATATATGTTATGTATGTAGGTAAGATAATAGACTGGAAGATACATTGACTTGTCTTTGATGTCTTTCTTACTTATCTGTAACATTCACATACCAAAATGGAGTGAAAAAATCAGAAAAAAACTGATTGGAAAGGGAGAAGTGGTGCTCTTGTTTAAGGTTAGCTCCACTGCACACCAGTTAACATTGTTATGTATTGCACTGTTTGCTGTGTCCCTCTAGATGAGGACAGTCGGGTGGCAGATGTGTTGTACCAGAAGGTACGTGTTCTCTGTTGGGTGATGACAGGGCCATATAACTTGCAGAGCAGAGCCCGCCATGTCAGGGCCACTTGGAGTCGTCACTGCAACGTGGTGGTGTTCATGAGCTCTGTGGAGGACCCAGACTTCCCCACTGTGGGCCTGGGCACTAAGGAGGGCCGTGACCAGCTCTACTGGAAGACCATTCGAGCCTTCCATTATGTCTACGAGCACCATGCCAATGAAGCGGATTGGTTCTTAAAAGCAGACGACGACACCTACGTGGTGGTGGACAACCTGCGCTGGATTCTGTCCAACCACACCCCTGAAGAGCCCATCTACTTCGGCAAACGCTTCAAGCCTTACACCAAGCAAGGCTACATGAGTGGAGGGGCAGGCTATGTGCTTAGCAAAGAGGCCCTCAAAAGATTTGTGGAAGGCTTTCGGACCAAAGTTTGCACACACACCACCCCTGTAGAGGACTTAGCACTGGGGCAGTGTTTGGAGAAGATGGGTGTTGTGGCGGGGGACTCTAGAGATACTTTGCATCGAGAAACCTTCCACCCATTTGTGCCAGAGCACCATCTAACTGGCAAGTTCTCCAAGAGCTTCTGGTACTGGAGCTATTGTTACTACGCTATTGTTGAGGCAAGTCCCTTCACTTCTGTTTTATTTATGAGCTAGTGTTGTGAAATGGCACTACAGTATGGTATAAATGGTAAAAGAAAACATATATATCATACCCGTGCTTAAGAATTAAGGTGCATACCATATAATTGCACTGTAAGCTGTCCAATAAAGGTAAAATGCCTAAAAGTGCCTAAAATGGCACCATTACTAAAATCACAAAGTGATTTATGGTTTCTTGGTGAGACAGACATCCTGTGGAGTGGATTAGGCTTATTAGAAAGAAGCAAGTCAGGTTAGGAAGACATGCTGTTGAGGGGTGAAGCTGTTCTAAATCCTTTAATAACATTAGTGTACATCTGCACCTCAAAGGAGAGAATTACTCTTTTATTATGAAATGTACAGTAGAGACCTATTTCCTTACTGAAAGTGAATAGTTTGCAGTAGTCTGTTTATTTTGCTTTTGATGAATTAAACAAAATGAAGGTGTTGATATAAATGACTCATCACAGAGATAATAACTAAATAAATTAATATGTCATTATCTGGCACTTTCAAATTCCGTACCTGACCCCTGCATAGAACGAGTGAATCGAAACAGAAATGAGTTCATTTTAAAGTAGATGATTGCAGCAGAGACAATGTCCTGTCAACAAAAGGAAAATTGGTCAATTTGTCGCTGATGATGCAACTAATTTATTGTAATTTGCAATTAAAATGAGACAGTTCCATTGCTGATCCTGTCAAACACTGCCTGCCAGTGTGTGTAGCTGCTTTGTCCTCTGTCTTTGAGAGGGAAACAAGAAAACAAATTAACTTTTAATATCAAAGTAATTGGAATTTTTTTTTTTTTTATCAGACTGTTAAAATGGAAATTTGTGGTTTCAGAACTGTCAACATATGACAGTATGACCAAAGAACTAAAGGATAAGGCTGTTGAGCTTCTTTATTCTTCTTATTGTGATCAAAAACAAAAAGAACAAAGCAAACAATGACTTGTGACCACAAACAAGTATTTTCTTTGCCAAATCTTGATTGTACCTTTGTGCCATAGACCTCTGCTGTCCAAAAACAGATAAAATCACATAAATGAGCCACACTGTTGCACCGCGTAGCAGCTTTCATCAGGATGAACATAGACACTTTATTTTGAGTCAGACTTAAATACATCATCCTGCTGCTGAATATACTCGCACACAAAATGTGTATTAATCCACAGTTAAAATTAGTCCCCAACAAAAGCACCATTTACTGCTGTTTGAGTAACATTTTCTAAAAACCTCAGAGCCCAGTTGTTTTAGGAAATGGTCCTTTTTTTTAAATAAACAGGAAGGAACAGGCTAAAATATTGTTGGTTTTAGTCTTTTCATTGAATTTGTAAAATAATGCCAGCCTTATCCTTCAAATGTTATTAGCAAATGAAAACACATGAGAGGTGTTACATGTAGCATTTTTATACAAGAAGTGATAGTTTTTTTCTTTTTTACAATGACTTATTAGTAATCGCAAAAATGGGATTACCACTTTGTAAAATGGAGACCTGACCATATTTGCTCATTATGCTGTTTGCATACAAAATATTCCTACATGATTTTCTTCCCTTGCATTACACCAGTTATTTCTCTTTATTTAACAGGCAAAGTCTTATCCACGTAAAAATGTTTGTACTTCAAACAATCAATTTCTCTTTTGTTCTGTAAAGTGATGTACATTTGTGCAGTAAAACCTGTAAGATTTGATTGCAGTGTGTTGGATGATAGAGACTCCTTTTGACAGTTGGTTTTGTTTGTTTATATGTCTCATAATTGTTCAATTCTACATGCAGCATCTTTAAAGTTTGTTATAATGTCGCTGTAATGAATGGCTTTTTAAATCTTTTTTCTAACTTGTATCTTTAATGTGTGTGTGTGTGTGTGTGTGTGTGTGTGTGTGTGTGTGTGTGTGTGTGTGTGTGTGTGTGTGTGTGTGTGTGTGTGTGTGTGTGTGTGTTATTCTTCCCCAGGGTCCACAGTGCTGCTCTGACCTGGCAGTATCTTTCCATTATGTAGAAGCAGAGCTGATGTACACACTGGAATACTACACCTATCACCTGAGAGCGTATGGCTACAGGTCACGCTACCGGCCCCCCTTGCGCCAGAGTCTGAGCCTCGGCCCACTCTCCCAGACAGTCGTGACGGCGAAGTTTAAAGGGGTGCAGGAGGTGACAGATGGAAGGATTCACACAACTTCAGCCTTCTTTGTTAGTGGAAACCAAACTAAAGCAGAGACGGAGTCAGAGAAAGCTGGGAAAGACGATCTAAACTCTGGCGTCACTGAGAACAGGACTGCAGTTACACATGGCAGGCACCGCTGATTCTGTGTTTTAGCTGGTTTTGTCTGTGCATGACTGTGCCAGAGAGCTGTATTAACCAGTATGTTGGCCTACTAATGTTTTTATTCCGACAGGGCTTTCTTAATCCGATCACAGTATATTCTAGTCAGTATGACACTGTAAGAGCTCAGTGTGAGTGGTTAAAATCTCATATGATTCTGTGGCAGCTCTATATGGTTATATTTTAACCACGATAAACATTAACTTTAGATTATTTACATTGGACATGATCATTTACAGCAACATTTAAATGTCACAGTCACATATGTATGCTTGGAATGATGCAAGAGGCACATAGAATATCATTTTAATGTGTTTTACAAGTACTTGATCGGAGCCAATAATACAGTAGCAGATGTTTTGAAAGATTTTTTTTATCATTTTTAATTGTTTTTTTTTTTTTTCTTGAAATGGAGAGCAGCAACACATGACAGTGTTTGTCACAACTTTAGCTTCTTTTATGTATGGCCTCTTTGCTTTTCTGGTGTTAAATCTGATTTTGCTGGTATTTCTTTTCTGATGTTCCATTTTAATTATTTAAAACATTTTTTGGCTTTCTGAAACAAAATGCAAAATGACTTTGGAATTACTGTTTTTTTTTTTTTTGCCTTTGTGTCTTATTTTTTCTTTTTAATTTCCCTTTGAATCTTCTGCATTTAAATAGTTAATGCAGACTCTAAATTCACAGCCAGCAGTGATATGATTTTTGTTTCTGTAAGAAAAGCAACAACTGTGCTGTGAAAATGTATTTTCTTTTTACCTTTGATTGATGTGAGATGCTCTGAGAAGTGCGTACTTGAAACCCCCTGTGCTTCTGTTTGAGATCGCTGTAGCGTTTGATGAACACAGTATTATACAAAACTCCAATGAATCCCTCTTGTCAAGTCATTTTATGTAACCCAACAGTAAACATTATAGCAGGTGTGATTGAACATTACTGTCTGCACTAGAGCCAAGCTTTGAAGCATCACTCACACAAACAGCTGCAGGAAAATGCACCAACGTTTTAAATGAATAAATTATGTATAGAAAAATTATGTTTATTTTTAACTTTGAAGAAAAAGAAATACATGATAAGGAAATATATCAGCTGTCACTTCTAATTATGTTTTGTTTCCAGATAAAACAAGTACAATCCGTGTAGTTTATGGTCACTTTCATAAGCCAGCTGGTAGATCATTTAGTCGTCTCCATCAGACATTTAGTTCATTATTTGTGATCTTCTGTCATTGTTGCCAGATGAGAGTTGCTTCAGTATGGATGTCTACAGCCCCTGAAGAAACCTGCAACAAAATACATCATACATGTATTAATACTACACTCATGCATTTTAAATGTTTAAAATCAATTATTTAATACACCATAAAAATAAAGCCAACTAGAGATTTACTTTAAAAAAAATGAAAAGTGTACAGAAGAAACATAACATAAATTTGCATTAAGGTCAGCAGTGCTTTTAAGACTTTAAACCTTGAACAGCAAGACATCTTAAGAACCTCCTCTGTCTGATATGGTTTTATACTTTATTATTCAGGTGAAGTGTTAACTTTATTTTTTCCAAGTGGAGACTGTTCAATGTTGCATCTACTGAATGAAAAAGAAGATGCACTCACCTCAGCCTGCACTTGTTGAGAAAAATGCCTCTCCTCTCTGGATACTCTCTCCTCCAGGGACCATTATCTTTAGAGCAGACATTACAAGATATATTGTCAATATGATAAACACTGAAAGATATGAATCTGAATGTCTATAAAAAGCCAACAGGGCTATTGTGGATATTTGACTTTTGTGATTTGCCACACTCACCAGGCTCTGAGTTTCTCCTTCCCATTAGACCAACAAAGATGTCATGCATTTCTCCTGATAAGAAGAATGAGAACCATTCTTTTTTTTTTTTGGATTTCATGAAATTTAAAACAACTTAAAGAAAGCAACCACTTTATATCATTACCAAATCACAAAGGTCTTACTTTTTTGTGGTGACTGTACAGCGTTTGCATCTGATGAAATCAAAAAGACAAAAACCGCTTTGTTAAATAGTATTTGAGAAAGAAATATATTAACTAAATGAATGTACCAGAAAAAAAAAATTGCTTGATTCTTCAGTTTATAGTAATGATAGTGTTGTTATTATTATTACTACAATAAAGAGAACTCACCGGCATTTCTTCTGCCCATCAAACCCACAAAGCTGTCATAATCCAAATCACTATACCTCTTCAGGATGTTCCGCTTGAGGTTGTCTAAACCTAAAGTCTGCTGCAATTATGAAAAAGAAAAGAAGGAAAAATAATGAGTTTCTGTTAACAGTCTGAAGGTTTAAAAATCCACATGATCATTACGCGCCAGGAAACCTACATCTGAAGTTGATCTGCGCGATCCCGGCTCCTCGCATCTGGACTGGCTGTATCGAAGTTTCATGACGAGGAACAGAGTCACCAGCAGCAGACCTCTCCTCATTTTTTCAGCACCACCTGTGCGAGAATACTCACAGTTACCCTGGCTTATTAGGTTGTTTCCTTTAAGGGAAAAACATCTCTGAAAATCGCCCTTTCATCAAGAACTACGCTCTAAATGTACTTGTAGCGCAAAACCTGCTGCGTAACCGGTGCGTAAAAGCGCACGGTGTAAGATTTACAGAAATATGGTCCATGAGACTTATTTTTAACGTAATTAGTAAACATTGTTTTGATTCTCTTTTATGTATTCAACAAAGAAAGAAAAGACACGACTATAATGATTTCACACAGTCCCCCAGTGTCTCCTCTCCAGCCCCACTTAAAGCCACTTCTTCAACAGAAAAAAAGACAGCTATTGAAAATAGAATACATATATAAACATTTCATTTTAAGCACTTAAGTAAAGTATTTTCTCCTTACCTGTTTTCTGTCGAGCAGATAAATTGGCAAAAGAGTCTGCTGCGTGCGCCCTGGTGCAGAGTAAAGTGGGAACGGATAGATCCTGCAGTGAGATCCGTTCAGGATAAATGAGGCGTCCACGCTCGGTGCTAATAAATAATAGCTGGATACCTGCGTAACGCCAATCAGCAACTGGAGCGTAGGTGGAGTATCATGTCTTGTATCACGTTGTGCTGAAGGCTACGTAGCCAACTCATTGATGGTCATGATGCTGCTGAGAGCGGTTGCCCCCCACCAAACACGCAAGCACTCTCATCATCAAAATAAACCAACAAGAAATAACAAACGTCCAGGCAACGTCACTAGGACATAGGTTCGTGGACGCAAGTCCAGTCCTGAATATATTTGGGATTTTCTTCTTAAAGATTAGGCTACAACCCCAGTTGGCCTTTGCTAAGAACGGGATAAATGAACCTAACATGATCTTCATCGCTGCTGATCATTGTTTGAGTTAAAACCTGAACCTGTGTGTTGAAAGTACACACAATATGTCTCATTTACCCATCTCTTTGCCACTATGCTCACATGCTCCTCTAGGTGTCTTTTCACTCCATTGACCAGTAGACATGAGCACTGTCATACAACATACTAATCTTTTTAGGAAGTAATTACATAGATAGCAGCTGCCTCTGCATGTCCCTATAGATGGCTGTGATGTATGTGACTAGATAGGCTGCACAGCTGTGTGTTTGTAAGTGACTGCCCAATACCTATTCATACAGAAAATGTGAAATGAAAACAAACATTCGTCCATCTACCTCTGGGCAGGTTTTAGTTCATGAAATAACAATTTATTTTCCCACCATGGCAATGCTCTACTTAATATGTGGTGAGTTTTTATTACGTACAAAAGAAAACGCTTTAATATATGATCAAGATCAACCGAGGAGACAGACAGACTAAAATCCAGACGTGTTGTTTGGACAGACAGATACTCATACAAGTATTGACACAATGAGTAACACATGATTCAGAGGGTCACTTTTCATGGCCGCTAAATTCTCTCCTAAACGGCTCTGACAGGTGCTGAGATGAAATGTCACTCTTGTGACTTGTATAAGCACAGATTGTTTGACAGATTTATGTCTAGCATTGTACTAAAGATACTTTATAATTACATACAACTTCAACATAGGCTGGGGATTAACATTTAGATGTAAATCTCCACAAGGTATTTGTGTGTATCATGAAAAAATATTTTCCCTACGTCACCAGCAGCTGAAAACAACTCTGATTTAGTGCTCATACCGAACCTATCATTTTTCTTGCAATTACACAAGCAATTACACTCGTGTTGGTGTTTGTGCACATGTTCAGATTGCAAACAAGCATGAATATTTCAGCAAAGCAAAGTTTGAGATCATAGCTGTAAAACGGACAGGCGGAACTACTGAGTATATAAATGCCTGTGGCCTCTGGAGACTGAGGCCTCCTATCAGAGGATATGCCACCAACAACAAAGCACCAGGCAAAAATCCAAAAAGTGCATTTCACAAAAGGTTAACAAGGCTATGTTTTAGTAATGACTTCCCATTTCCATATTTGTCCTGTTCCTGTATGTAGTAGTGTGGGGGGTATTGCAGCAGTGCAGGGGTGCGGGGTGGGAGATCTGACAGAAGTAGGGAAGTCGTTAATTGCATTTTTACATTATTAACGAGTGTTTTTTATCCCCCTTGGTTATCAAAGCGACCCTGTTTTTGGACTGAGAGCAGAAGGAAAGAGTGCCAGGGGCTGTTTATCCACAACATGCCGTGGCAGGGGAAGTTTCTTATCCAACAAAAAGGCAAATGGATATTGGGTTGGATGTACTGCAGGGCTAGATGGACATCCTGCTATACATCACAGGTAGTCACAGCCCTGCGCACTGCCTTACAATATGACACACATCCTCTGCTGTATTGCATTTGGATGTCATTCATTCCGGGCATCTGACTCACAGGGAAAGCTGTTGCACCCTCACTATGTGTGAGCTCCCCTCAGATCTGCGGACAGCTGTGAAGGTAATTGGACAATGTCTTGCCCTATATCTTGAATGTTCACGGTTGGCTCACTAACAGCAGGTAGCCCATGGTGGCTATAGGTCGATCAATATGAGAAAAGACAGAAGTAAAAAGACACAGCTCAGCCTCATGCTAAGATCATTTAATATGAATGCGAATGAAGGAGTGTGTGAAAAATGCATGAAAATTTTGCGTCACATTGATCATTATCAGTGTGACAAGTTAGACTTTCCACTTGAAAACATTTAAGTCTTCCTTTGCACTGGTCAGATATTTAAAAAAGTTATTTAATATCATTAGGCATCATCATTGTCCTACTCAGATGTTTCTTAAGCATTTATTAGCATGTATGTATTAAATATATTGTAATAATGTAATAATGTAATTTATTAGCATGTATGTAAGGAGCAGGCTGTCAGCATCTTTGTTCAAATATAATTTTCCCTGGTTTCACCCCTACCAACAGTTTAGTTCAATAATTCTGCCCATTGATCCTGCTTTTCTTGTACTCGCTTATTGAATCAACAGGCTGAAAAGATTGAGATAACCTTGCTGTGGAATACATAGATAGAAAGAGATATTTAAAAAAGATTGAGACTCAAAATGTGTTTTCTGTCTGTATGTGTGTCTTTGTGGACATATCATGTCCAACATTGGTAAGACTGTAGAATGCCTCAAAAGCTATGTAAGCCTGAAAACACAGTCTAGCTGTTCAGTTTGTTTGGAGGTCCATGTGAGGACATGAAAATACAGATTCATTCTTCTGTATAGTTTTGTATCCGGTGGAGGAAAACAGCAGATAGAGCCAGGAGTACAGTCACACTGTTATTCTTCTCTTGTCTCAAATGGAACTGCCAATCATCCATTTGTGCAGGCTTTCACAGCCTGAGAGGGAGAAGATAAAGTAAATTCCACCCTGTAGTTGAGAGGGGACAGTGACGTGACAGCCCTCA